ATATATATAATTATCTCTATATATATCATTTAGTGTACATATACGACGCAATATATACGTACACCGAAAAAACCTGTCGCTTGATGTTCACTTCGGCAGAGCGGTGAAGCAGGCGCGAGTACTGTGCTGTCGAAATCGTATGGCTATCTATGTATCATCGTTACTATATTTGACCAACGTGGGCGCAAAATGAGAGAAAACTAAGCTCTATGCCCTTTAAATAAAAAAGAAGTACTTTATAAAAAAAATGCTCGCGCCTGATTGCCCGCCCGCCTGCCTCTTATATACATACACATATATATATACACAATATACGTAAGATCCGTCGAGCTGATCTGTACAGTCATAACAAAAATTAAAATTGAATAATAATAGGAACGCGACGAGGAAAGAAGAGGAGAAAAAAATAGTTATTGACCTGCGCCTGCTATGTATATGTGCACCATAATTTAACAAATGCAAACAATTACTAAGTTTATAAAAAACACTGAAACGTATTTTTTCAATATTATCGATTAATCGGAATAATTGTCTAATGCTTCTCGATAATAATAAATTCAACACGACATCAACAAATGCATTTTCCGACGGGCGTCAGCTAAAAAATAATATATATACATATACATATATATATATGTATACACATGTATATATATATAAAATATTTATAAATTCTCGTATACGCGCTGTCTTCCTTTTTATTTTATTATACACAATATAGAAGGATATTATAAAAGTGAACCAACTCATTCGTCCGGCAATTCAATAAAGATAATAAAAAAAAGTATAAAAAAAATTTAAAAAGTACAACAGCGTGCACAACGATACGAACGAACGGACAGGTATAAAGCAAACATCATCGAACAAGATTTAAAAAAAAACAACAAAATGTGCTCGTTGCTTTATTCCGACGACACGACGACAGTTTTTTCTTTTCAATTAATTAAGTACAGTCTTTACTTGCGGCCAACTTACACCCGCTTCAAACTCTATGGCACTAAGTATTCACGTGATTATCTCTAATGTATCCGTTCGTATTTTGAAAAAAAAAAAAAAAAAAAAAAAAAGATAATATACGTCTACGCAAAACAAGAAGTTAGTGCGAAGCACGGACGAATGAATCTCGTTCGCGCCTACAACCGTCCTCGCCGCATACAGTCGCCATCAAGAGATGCAACGCGCGCGCGAGCACGACTTCCCGACAAATAAAAGAAGCTACGTCAGCTCCCACGCGCACCATCTTGTCCTTCGAGAAAGACAGCCTTCGCGCGCGCGTTGCATTTTTTTAAAAACTTCTCGCAAAGTCAAACTTAACCATCGAAATCATCATATTACAAAAAAAGAAAAAAAAGATAAAAAAAAGTATAATTCAATCGATCGCGTGTTTTTCCACAAAAAAAAAGGATCAAAAAATGAAAAACATCGAATTACTCACGCAAATGTTCAAGTCTCATCCTGTAATCCTTAAACAAACAACTCGCTGTGTCGCAGAAACAATGCCTAGTTCAAGACCATGTATATGCGTATAGTGGTAGAAGAAAATATCATGATCGAATAAGCGTCACTGAGTGGAACAATACACAACAATAAACGCACACAGTTGCAGCCTTGTTCGCAAAGTCGTTCGACTGTTTAATATTGTTTTGTTTATGGGGAGCAACCGAGATTATTGTGGATAATCTCGGCCCTAGGTTCGGCACTCGTAACTAGGGTCCGAGTAGCAGGTGCCGAGTTCCACCCGTCAAACTCCGTACTTGTCATTGGATAATCTTGATAAGTATAATTTTGAAATGAGCTCGGATGCCACACTTGTCACTCCTTTAGTGTCTCCCTCTCGCGGGTGCGTATGCCACACAGCATTACACCTCGCTTAATTATTCGACCAAACCTCGTTGTATAATGCGTACAGAGTAGTCGAAGTGAGGCTCCCAGCACGACTCGCAACGTCGTGCCCTTCGCGAAGGACATGCTGGATTTGCAGTGCGCGATAGCGGCAAATCCGATCGATTTTCTTGCGTGTTTCGTGTCAGCTGTTCCCAGTGTGTCGGAGCCTCACTCGTGGTGTGCGTGCAAGTGTACGTGTATTGGTTTGTGCCCGAGTGTTGTGATTTATCATAAAGGCTGTACGTAATGTGTTGAATCGCATACATAAAGAGGGGGAGGAACGTCAACTGTAGGTGTAACGTTCTCCACGTAGACAGGCACAGACTCACAGGCTGCTTTGCTTTGCTCTAGGCAGGCAATTGCAGCGTGTAGTGTGTGTGTGCCCCAAAGGAGAGGCAGCTTGGCATCCGAGTTTTCTTGCTTCGTCATCCCCGCGTACGTTAATGCAGGCAACGAGAAGCAGTGATTATTGATTTATTGATTTTTGTTGTTGTTCTTAACAAGTATATTTTTTAGGGCAAGTACGGGGATTTGGGGGAGGGGGTGGAACTCGCGCGCCCTGCCGCTCAGGACTTTGTACCTCACACAACTCCCTAGTTACGAGTACCGAGACCTAGTTTAATTTTTCCTAGCAATTTTTACTTAACTTTTTACAATAGCTCTGTTGTTTTACGAATTTCACTTTGACTTATAATTTTTGATTTGGCAGTTCTCTCTCTTATACATCTTTCATTTTTTTCATCATTTTCTTATGCAGCGCAAAATTTGCTTTTTTACTTACACACCGATATTACATTACGCAATATACCGAGCATGCCAGCACGTTGCTCTTTTTACTACTCAAGAAAGAGTTTGTATTTATTTTTTTTTTTAATTTCGTGTTTGCCTAGTGTGTGTCCGATGAAAAATATAAGCGTTTCCATTTTTTTACTCTTTACACACGGCAGACCGCACACATTTCCCTTGAACTTGCTTTTCTTTATCTTTTTCTCTCCCTTTCTCTCCCTTTCTCTCTCTCTCTCTCTCTCTCACTGTCTGTCTATAGTTTGCCGCCAAGTCGCGTACGCAGTTTCACGCGCTTATTCCTTTCAACCATTTGTTCATCAACTCAACAATAAACGAACGAGCTGGACGCAAACAAAACACGCTCATGTCGCAAACGAGTATCAAAAAAACAAATGCAGTTCAAGCGAGTCCAACTGTCTCCGTCTTGCTTAATATCAATTGTATTCAATCACGACAATGGTAACCTAATCACTATTAAATTGAAAAGCTACTAGATAGGTTGAAAAACACATATTTCTTTCAATTGTCGCACGCTCTCATTTACGTATATGCATTTCATTTTAGTTAACCTTCTATATGTATACTCACTTAAAAATAGACACTAATCTATTTTGCAAATATTAGACTTACGAGTTAATTACGTATATCATTGATCACGATCAAAGTTTCAACAAACGAACGCCGAGCAATCCGACTCCGTCTGCTTTTGGCGCTTCTTTTGCTCGCAGTTGCGAAGCTTTTTTTTCTGCACCGCGCGGCGACACTCTGCAAAACTCCCGAAGAGACAAGAAAATAACGAGCGCTTTTATGCAGTTCCATCCGAGCATCAATAGAAAAGAGACGCGAGGAACGTTGAGATCCGACGTATACTTTTATTACGTATCACGTGGTAGTTTCCGTTCTCGTGTTTTTCAGAGGCAGCTTTCGTAAATTTGGCAGTGAGTCACACAAACTTAGGCCAATGCTGCGTATGTAAGAGAGTGTGCGGGCACCAAAGTTGCCTGCGAAACACGCGAGAGTACTGAAAAGCCCTAGTTCCTGTCCTAAAATTGGCCCTACGCTCGATTTCCTAATCTAAACGCACAAACGCACGCCCACGTAATGCCCTCGGTATAGAAGGAGAAAAAAAAGATTTTTTTTTCGTTTTCTTTGTTTTTTCAAACGTTGTTGTTGCATGTCGTTTTAAAGAGAGAAAGAGAGAACAGAAAATAAAAATAAGTAAATGTCTTCCTTCCTTCTTCGTGTCAGCGCCCGCCAGAATATGGATCCTTGCTCTAGATAATCCGTCAAGGTCACGCATCACCGAATCATTATCAAAGAAAGCTCTTCACGGCAAGAGTCGTCATGCAAAAATGAAACGAGAACCGTGGAAAGGCTACGGAGAGTCGGCTAGATAAAAAGCTAGTGGTCGCAGAAGTGGTCGTGGTGACTGATAAAAATTTGAACGAAGGAGCGTGCGTGACCTTGAGGGCCTGAAAAAGGTGGCTCTAACAAGCAGCAAAATGTTTGCACAGGCATGCGCGCTTTTCACGGGTTTGGTGATAACGAAGAAGGATGGTCTATCGAGAGCAGAGAGAAGCGTGCAGAGAGACAGAGCAGGGAAGAGATAGATAGATAGAGAGAGAGAGAGAGAGAGAGAGAGAGAGAGAGAGAGAGAGAGAGAGAGAGAGAGAGACTGGTCGCGGTCGGGTCAGTAGAGGATGGCGAGAGTGCAACGAGCGTCTAGTTTGTACAGCGGAGTAGAGGAGGCCGCGCGCTCGGGCGGCGAGCGGCAGCGGCAGAAGCGGAGAAGCGAAGACGCAGAAGAAGAGGCGGAAGAAGAGCGCTTGCAGTTTGGACAGTTGTAGTGTGGTTGTCGGTAGCAATTACGAGCACGGATAGATGGCCGAGTGATAGGCGGCGAGGGCGGCGTGCGCGTGCGCAGGGGGCGCGGACGCGTGCGGCGTGCTCGCCATCGCGGCTGCCATCATCATCTGCTGGTGCGTACGCTTTAGGGAGTTGGGAGTTGTGGCGGCGCTACTCGGGGTGGTCGTTACAGTGGTGGTGGTGTTGTTGTTGTTGTTGTTGTTGTTGTTGTTGTTGTTGTTGTTGCTATTGCTACTGTTCGGACTGCTGCTGGTCCCGTTGCTGCTTACCGCTGCTGCCGCTGCCGCCGCCGCCGAGGAGCCGGCGCTGGGCTGCGGCAGCGGGCTCGCGCCACTGCTGCTGCCCGCGAGGGCGGCGAGTTGGTGGTGGTGGTGTGATTGGTGGTGGTGGTGGTGGTGGTGGTGGTGGTGGGGAGTTATCGCGTCGTGCGGATAATAGGACGATGAGGCGGGCGAGGTACTCACGACGTCGGGCGTGCTGGCTCCGTCGGTGTGCGAGGTGCTGTCGGCGGTCGAACGTGGCCCGCCGTCGAGGCCGTTGCCCAGTTCCGGGGGCTTCGTGCTCTCGCGATCGTCGATCACCAGGTCTATGGGCATCTTGCCTTTCAGGCAGCTGATGTACCGGTGGCAGAAGTTGTCGCACAGCTCGTGCACCTGCAATCACACGCGCCCGACATATGCGCTCATTAGTATTTCAGCACAATCAGGGTGCGGGCATGAAAGTTGCATGAGCGGCGGCCCGCTGCCGCGCTACGTGTAATGCCCGGTGCGAATGAATTGCCGCCGGGTATTTTTTCGCCCGTAACGAGTATATCGGACGCTGCTGCGAGCTCCGTCCGCGGGGGAATTTTTACGAGGGGACGCTTTTTGCCGCCGCGGCTCTCTCAGCTCGCGCGACTTCTTGTGACCGGCCGCCGCCGCCGCCGCCGCCGATTGTCGCTCTTTCTCTCGCATCGATACGGTAGGACGAGTTGTGTTGGCCGCCGCCTCTCTCCCGTCGTCCGTCCGGCTACACACAAAAAATACCCCGAGAGAGAGAGAGAGAGAGAGAGAGAGAGAGAGAGAGGAGAGAGAGAGAGAGAGAGAGAGAGAGAGAGAGAGAGAGAGAGAGAGAGAGAGAGAGAGAGAGAGAGAGAGAGAGAGAGAGAGAGAGAGAGAGAGCGAACGAGAGAGAGCGAACGAGCGAGCGAGCGGAAAAAAGAAGGCGCACACCCAAGACCGAGCTGAGATGAGAGAGGGAGAGGAGGTCTGACCGGTGTCCAGCCGACCAGAATGTTATGTATGCAAATGAGGCCTGACAGGCCTATAGCATCGCAGCCCCCCCGCCCTTCCCCTTAGACCAGTTCCTCCGCGCCGTAGACCCTCTTCCTCTTTTCCGTTGCTTCGCCCGTTTATAACTTTCTCTTCACTGCTGCGGCTGCTGCTGCTGCTGCTGCTGCTGCCAGCAGCACGTACCCATATAGGTACAGCACGCACGCTTAGAAAAATATACACCGAGAGAGAAAGAGAGTTAAAAAGAAGCGAAGCGAGCGCGGTCATCTTGTTATATGTAAATGGCGAGTGAGCCGAGCGCTATATTACGATGCCGCCGCCTTTTGTAAGCCTATCCGCCATTAGATATATTTACAATAGGGAAACCGATCGCCGCGATGTGCTGCGCGGACCAACCAGAGTCAACTGTCAATTGTTCTTTTCTCTTTGGCGAGAATGAAGAATGCAGGCGCGGCGGAGCAGCTTGCGTGTCGGAGGACCTCCTGATAAAGGGATTTATTGCGAGGCACCAGGCTGCGTTACAGGCTCGCCGAGAATTCGGCCGGGTTTAAATGCCTCGTTAGCCGCTTGCCCGAGACTCTAGCGAGGGAGGCGCGATGCGAAGACGAAGCTAGCGAATCGATCGGCCGAAATAAGGAATGGCGCGAAAAAAAGGAAGGAATGGCGAGAGGGCCGAAAGCTCGATCGCTTAGTCCGATTGCCCGGAAAGTTAAACGGCGCGACTTTTCGAAGAGACAGAGCGAGAGAGATCCATTAAAATAAATCTAGCTTTGGAAAAGTTGATGGGCGCGTGGAGAGGGGACAGAGTCGGCGGTGGGCATTATCGGGGCGGGAGGAAGTCATTGATCAAGCACGCGTACGCGGGGGACAGATCGGTTTCGCTTCCGGGAATCCGATCGACTTTTTACCCCCGAGCCCCGAGCCCCGAGCGCCGGGCGCGCCGAGCACGCCGAGGAGAGGATCGCGTTCCATTACCGAGCAAGCCCGCAGAAACCATCGGGCGCTAGTGGGCGCCTCACCCCGCGAGCATCGTAACCGGATACGCGGCAGCATCCCTTGCGCGTAGGCTGACCGGGCACCTGCCGAAAGCACGGCCGAGCGAAGACGCGCCGCTGCGGCGTTGATTAAACAAGTGGGCCGAGGCGAAGGAGGAGCCGCCGGCGCGGCCGAGGAGTGCGTCTCCCGTCGCCCGTCGCGGCCTCGAAAGCGACACTTCCCGAGCCAGTGTCGCATGTAACTCGATATCAGTTCCCATTTCACGGGCGATTTAACGAGCGCGCGCGCGAGGGCGTAGCGAACGCGGCGAGCAGCTCGCGCGCCGGATCAGCGCCGGACGCACCGAGGAACTGCACTTTTCGGATCTCGGACGATTGCGCGCAATCTGCCTCTCTCCCGCTCGCTCGCTCGCTCTCTCCGCTTTATTTTCTTGCGATGCCCTTGCGACGCGCTCGGCTGCTGCAGGAGCGTCGCGCGCTCGCGCGAGGGATCCCGTTTGGACGAGAACAAGAGGAGAGAAGAAAAAAGGAGCACCCCATTCTCCAGCACAATGGGCTCCTCTCTCCGAGCCGGAACGTAATGAACGCATCCGGCTGTGCCGGCGAGGCTCACCTATGCGCCAAATATACGGGCCAAAACCTTCGACGGTCGAGCGGGCTACCAGCGGCGAAAGAGGCGATCGATGGAAATCACATTCACTGTCAAGGACGCTCGCCGACGAACGCGGGCGTGACGGATCGGCTGATTCGTCGTCGTCGTCGGCTGACCGCCGTCGCCGCCGCCGCCGCGCGCCGATCGAACGGTATAATTAAAACGGAGCGCGCGAGTGGTACATGGCAATCAAGACATCACGGGGCAGCGCGGGCAAAAGGCACGTAAAAGGAGACGAAAAGAGAGTGGAGCAGGTACACGCGGAGAAAAATCGAGCGACAGATTGCAAAGGCTCAGCGAGAGAGAAAACCAGTTTTGCCGCGAGCGCAGCGAAGGGAGTTAGCCGTTGGCGAGCCGGCTCGCCATTGGAAAAAATGCGCGATAGATATATATGAACGACGACACAGACGACACGGGCGACACGGGCAGCGGCCGCGTTTTAGGGTCAGTGGAGCTCGCGCTGCTTCTATTATCGACTGCTCGAGCGCGAGCGCGCGGCCATCTTTTCTATTCCCGAGCCAGAGGCGCGTCACCACATGGCGCACTCGAAATATCGGCCCGAACGCGCGCTCCGGGAATCGCCTCGCGGCGCTCAGCGCTCGGTCGCTCGCTCGTTCGCTCTCTCTCTCTCTCTCTCTCTCTCTCTCTCCTCTCTCTCTCTCTCTCTCTCTCTCTCTCTCTTGCGAGATCGCGCGCGGCCGGCGGAGCGCAGGTAATCGGGCTCGCCGACGAGCCAGCGAAATTGCTATGAAATTGGCATGGAGGAGCGAGCGCCGGGGAGAGGGAGAGCGATGGCTGCCGCCTTGGATGGATGTCCGCTGTTTCGTACGCCGATCAATTGCGATCGAGGCGGAGTGTGCCCCGAGGGCAGTGCGCGCGGCGGCGGAGGCTGGCCGGTCTCGTCGTCGTCCCTTATGCCGCGCGCATTTGCATGCTCCGAGCTCGTTTCGTGGCTCTCGGAGTCCGCGACGGCCGACTCGATGCGCGCGGGTAGGCCCGCGCGACAAACGGACAGCTTAATCGCAGCACTTAGAGCGCCCGGCCCAACAGAGAGAAGAGAGCTACGGCCGCTCTCCAAAGACAGAGCTTTCGCTACAATTACGGAGGAAAATTGCCTGGCCAGTCATAACAGTGCTCGCCGGCTCGCTTGCTCGGCCTCAGCTTTCCCAGCAAATTGCAAACTCTCATGCACACGTTTCGCTCGACAGCGACATTTTGAAGGAAAGTTCCGTTACCTTTTCAAGCTCGAGGAGGTGAAACCGGAGTACTTGGATCGCCTGAACCATCTGCAAAGAAAGACAAAACGTGATTAATGGTGCGACAGCAGTACATCCTTAGAGTTGGAGCGAGCATAAGTGCCGCGCGAGCTCGAACGGTGACGAGCGGGGCCCCCCGACGGGCCCCCCGACGAGGCTCGTGCAATCGACGACGACGTCGTCGACGTCGTCGACGCGCCGCCTCCCGAGTCGCTTCGCGTTTAACGTTCGCGCGCCCACGAGCTCCTCGCGGCCAAGTCCAAAGGCGCCGGCATAAATCTCACTCTCTCGCGGCTTCTCCTTACGTGAATCGACGAGCCGGCGCTGCGGTCCCGCGCCGAGCCGTAACTTTCGACGCATCGACGCGCGCGTGATTAATTGAAAACGTTATGAAGGAAAAGCGACGATGGCTTCTTTGCCACCAGCACGCATCTCCGCTTTAATAGCCCTTATTTATTATTCACTTGTCTCGCGCGCGCGGAGCAACGGTTGATTCCTCTGTCTATCCATCTCGTTATCTCTTCTCCTATCTGCTGCCGAATCGTTAATGGCTTGCATACATTTGCGAGCCGATTGCAAAAGTGCTTTCTTCGACTGGAATCGCAGCAGCGTCGAGGAACCAAAGACAAAACGCCCTATCCGAAACATTTTAATAATTATCAGTGACGCATTTAACGCGCGCGCTCGCGAGATATCGACGCTCGCTTCGGCAGCGCTGCATAATTTTTCGATGGCGAAAAAAAGAAGAGACTTTTGTTGCGCGCGCGAGTGCCGATTCAATTAGGCGAGGTGCCGGCGGCGTCGAACTTAATCTTAATCGTTAATTAACATTGTATTTATGCAATTACCGTGCGGAGCCGCCCCCATTATGATTGTGCCAGGCCGATAACGAGCGTCCGAGCTTTTGCCCTTAATTAGATCGCGCTGTGAAGCCCTTTTTCGCGCGTTCCTCTTTGTAATACCGATCACACTTGAGCGCTCGCGTCGGCGGCAAAACAAGCATCCTCCTTCAGCGGCGCTAACTCAATTATTCTAATGAGCACCCAAAGAGAAAGGCAAAAGTAGGTTGCCGAAAAGTCAGAGACGACGCAATGACCTCTTCGCGTCGCGTGTGCGTGATGTTAATTAGGCGCGAGTCGGCGAATCTAAAGGAGAGAGTAAAAAGAAGGAGAGAGAGAGAGAGAGAGAGAGGGCCGCTGGCGGCGTGCGTCGCGACGCCAACTGCGACGAGGGCGCGAGCAAAAGAAAGAAGCAGGTTGATAGAGTGCGAGCGCGAGCGCGAGAGATGGTGTCGTTTATAAGAAGCGCCGCGCACAAGCCTTCTCTCATTCTGTATATGCGATGCATGCGCGAGATTGCGCGCATTTAACACGACGAGCGAGAGAGCCGCGCGCAAACACACATGGCTCGTCGTACTTGCCGGCCGTCCGATCGAGATTAGCATCGTCCGCCGCTGGATATCGAGGGATTCCTCGGCGTTCTCCGCTCGCCTCGCGAAGGAACGATCGCTGTAATCGTCATCCGGCGACTCGTGCAGCTCGAACGGAACGCGACAATGGACGACAAGAAGAAAATGGCGCGCGCAATTAACGAGTCCGCGGCTGTAATCCAGTGATCGCGCGGCCCGTGCCGTAGTCAAAGTAGAGAAAGAGAGGGAGAGAGGCTGCGTATGAATCACGGCATCGATAAGAGAGAATCGTCGCGTGCACACGCTGTCAAGCCAATTGATACAATTAGCGCGCGCGCGCGGGCGCTCATTGAGTCGTTTAAAAGGAAACAAATCGAATCTTCCGCTCCTTTTTCTCCTCCGTTGTCAAGCCGAAAAATGTCTTGCGGTTAACGAGTGAAAAGAAACTCTTTTGGTTGTTCTCTTGTGTTCGCTAATGTTCGATGATTTAGCGTGGCAGCGTTCGATACAATAGTCGGAGCCCATAAAGAAATCACCTGCGCCATCCTCTCTGTTTTTTTGTCTCTTAATGTATAATAACAACAGCCGGCCTCCAATCCTTTATTCCTCGGAAATTTCTTCTGTTATGTAGCCCGCCGGGCGCGGGGTATTATCCCTTTTTTTCTATTTACACGGCTGTAGCGTACTGTATCAAAGAGCTGCGGGCGAAGTGATTTACGGCCTCATAAATATATTTCCTCGACGCGCTCGCACTCGACAATCGCATGCCGCGTTACGATATCCTGGAGCAACTTTTTGGACTGCTCGCGCGAATCGATCAAGAGTTTTCGGGGCACGAACGGTCAATTTCACGATATCGACGAGGCTCCGAATCTCCCCCCGTGTCCAAGGAAAAGCGCCGGTAGAGGGATTTTAAGCCGATCGAAAGGGCTGTGTAAGCGAACGGCCGGTTTATCTTTCGCACGCCCTTCCCCTTCCCCTTCCCCCTTTTCGACACGCCAACGACAATATTTGAATACTGTTAGACGACAGCGCCCCTTCCGCAACTTCCGCCCATTGCGTCGACGACAAAGAAACTTCCGCGAGCGGAAAAGCCAAGAAATCTGGCCGAAGAGGCAAAACAACGTCGCAGGATAGGAGGACTGTATAAGGAGATAACATTTACTTGCACGGGCCATCAAACCACCGGCTCGCGCGCCTCGGGATCCAGTGTCTTAATAGCCCAAGATTTATGGTCAAGCGCGACGTGTGTAATGCAGCGCTTCTAAAACCATGTACGCATCGGGCATAATGCACTCTATTCGACTTGATGCGCGAACGACGCGGTGCCCTATTCAAAAAAGCGACGACGTAAAAAGGAAAACAAGATGCCCTCTACAGAATGAAGAATACATTTTTTTATTTTCAGAGGGCAGCGGCAGGGCATTGTTATAAAACACGCACTCTCTCGGACTAGAGGCAGTAAAGTGTAAACAAGCAGGCCAATAAAAATAGTAATAAAGGCCAGCGGCCGAAAAAGGGTGTGTGGTCGAGAGAGAGGCGACTTTACTGCGCGCACCTGCATTTTTGCGAATATTTCGGGACGACATTAACGTCTTTAACGAGCCTCCCGTAACAAGCCCAAAAAAGAAGGACTGCCTCTTTCCCTCCCCTACAGCTCCTTTCGTTTTTTTTCGTCTTCTTCTTAACCCAGAGACATAAACCTCCGCGTATATGTATGTACGTATGCATAATGCCAGATAACGGCGGCAGCGGCAAAAAAAAATGATCGGCTCGTGGATCGTTAATTAAGTTTGGAAATTGCAGGAAACATAGTGCTTGAGGTGCGCGATGTATTTAATTAATCAGAGTGCAGAGCAAAGTGAGTGAGAACGCGATCTCGTCGTAAAAAGCGCTTGAAACACGAAACGTCAAAATGTGACGCGGGTGCGAGAAACCAAACTCGTTCCAACGTCTTGGATTGCTAATATGATGCGAGCACGCACCAATGCCACAGAGATCTATCTAATTTGGCAAACGCCGAAAATACAAGGTGGCAAAATATATAGTGTTACACCTGTGTGGCCGAAATATTGTGGTGCAGACGCTGCCAAAATAAAAGAATACGCTTATCGTCGACGACTCTCGAATAATATCCTCGAAATATCCTATTTCATCCTTACTTTTTTATGGTACTTCGTAACGCGTACTTCAAACGTACACACTGCACTACACTCTCTCACGTATAGTCGTATGAATATCAGTTTACTTCACAAGCAAAAAATCGACGTCGCATTTACATCTGTTTTGTAGCATTGGGAGAGAGAGAGAGAGAGAGAGCGAGCGCGCGCGAGGAAGGAAAAAGCACGGCATGGGAAAGGTAAAGTTAAATACCGCGAGATGATGAGTCGCGAATGGCCTTTAAGAGTCAACGGCCAATGATTGCGTGCAAGCCGAGATGGATGACACGCGCTTCTCTCCTGCAGCAGCATCCGATCCTTTGCGTCGCTCTTTTTTCTCGTGCTAGGATATCCTCGGTTTCACAGGATACCGTTACCAACACAGAGATTCCAAGCGCAGAGAGAGAGAGAGAGAGAGAGAGAGAGAGAGAGAGAGAGAGAGAGAGAGCTATACTAATGCCTGCACTGCTCGTCGACCTTTGGATATGGTTATATTGCAATTCTTCCACGCCACGTATAACAAGTGCACAAATCTAACTTCTTTTTAACCAAGTCACGTGGGACGAAGAAGTCGATTAGCATCTCATTGGCTGTTTCGCTCATGCTAATTTTATTTAAACGAGCGCTTATGCATCCTCCTCCTTTCGTACGCGCGGCTCCACACTTTTGCTTGCTTTGCTCTCTTCGCCGCCGACTTTCCGAAGATGCTGCTGCCTGCCACTACGTCCCGAATACATCCGCCCACCTAGTGCCGTGTCCTCGACGACTCTTCAAACTCGAGTGCCCTCCTCTCGCGCCCAACCGCTTCTTTTTTTAATATTTGTATAGAAAACTCCGGCAGCTTTAACTTGCCTGCTCATTGCAAACTCGCGTGCGCGCGGGACAACATTTTTGACAAATATTGACGAGGCTTCTTTTTTTTTGGAACGAAAAATAAACCAGTCTTACAACGGTGAAATTGAAATACCAATCGTTAAACTCAATCGAGCGAAAGACAAATTTACCTTTCCGCAGCAATAAATAGCAATACGTGACTATCGAGTGGTTTTTAGAGAATGATTAAAAGTACATTAACGCGACTATGACAGCATCAATCTGTGGGGCACCGAAAGCAACGAGGCGAAAGTAAACGAGCGAAATTCAAAAATTGATGCGTTCTCCACTCAAGGAATAAGGCTATAAGGTGAGCAGCTGTCGGAATTTCCTTTTGGTGTTTGATCGCTCGACTGTAACGAAAGCCACCCTTGAACGTCGCAAGACCCTCGACACGAAATCTTTTGCGCGCACCGCTTGGAAAATGAAATTAAACGCGAACACTGGAAAAACCATGCACCAACAGATGTCTCGGCTCCTTTTTTTCCTTCTTTCTCCATTGAGCGGCGTCAATCGTGTGAAAATTCCTAATGATCGCGTGCGCTGTGGTTATTCTCTCTCTCTCCCTCTCTCTCTCTGTTCGTACAATCCGAGTCACATATCGGAGAAGTAATCGCGAGTCGACTTTTCCGTTCTGCAAAATGATCGGCAAAAACCTTTGTAGAGAACAAAGGCGAGCACGGCTGCAGCGGCGCGGGGATGACTGCTCGCAAAAAGTGCGAGACGCGCACGTTACGTGCTCCCCCCCCCCCCCCTCCCCCCGTCACCTTTACGATAGCGCGCCTTCAATGCTCGTAGATTGCGATTAGCCACGGACGTAATGAAGCTCTGCCCTTTCTCTTAGTTGTCTCTTCTTGCCTCGAACGCTTGTCTCGGGACTCGTAATGCCGCGCGCTTGAATATGCGCCGCGCACGAGTTCGCCGGAAGTTTTGCACATAAGCTCAGGCGCGCGCACAAGTACATGCATACCTGCTGGACGAACGCGTCGGTGCATAAGAACATTTTCATCGTCAGAATAAACAGTGACGCAGCGCGAATAATTAGGCGTACTTGAGACTCTTTGTTTAGATGACTGTTAGTGATCTTTAGAGAGAGAGAGAGAGAGAGAGAGAGATGCGTGGATCAACTCACTACAATATATCTTATTGTCAACTACATTTAGACTTTCCGTGACACTTGAATAACTTGCTACCGCAACTAATTTGCTTGTTTTCCTCCCCATTCTTCGTCCAGTTTTTCAAAAAGCCAAATGTATTCTCGGGGGAAAGTTTACACCTGCAATGCGGCCGTCGCAGCGCGAGCGCTTAAAAACAGAGCATTTCTCCTTTGAATTTTAGATGGCTAAAACTCGTGTGTTTCTGCAGCATCATCGCGAGGTGGATGCATTATGCAACAACGCCGCTACCATTTACATATAGTGCTCTTCCGATGTATTTTAGGTGAGCATCGTTTTTTTTTTCCAGCTGCTCCTCGCTGCCACGTCTTCCGTCATCTCGAGGTCGTGCGCAGCGCTTGCAAAACAGCAATTGACGCTCGACGCCGCCGATAATGAAATAATAAAAGACTTCTTCGCTGCGCGTCCTGCGATCGTGGTCGAACGAATATTATCGACCGAGCGTAACGCGAACTACAGCGCTGCCTCGATTACAAGCGCATTCGCGAAAATACAGACTGAACGACAGCGCAGTAGGAGCGCGCAACGTACAACTCCCACGTTCCCATTTGGTCGCCGGGAGGACGTGCGGCGCTTATGCTCGCGACTCACTCGTTAGCCGAGAAGCCTGCTCGGGCGCCTCTTATCACGGAAAAATATATGACGTCCGAAAGAAACTCACCAGCGAGTCCACCTCCGGGTCGGCGATGTAGTAAGGCTTCTCTTGTCTGATCTGCAAAACGAAAAGGAACAGTTTGAATAATTAGAGCAAGCGATGGCATATAGGAGATAATTGGGCTGTATACAGGCGGGACGCGCGGCTTTTGTATGTGGCGCGCGAATATGAGGAGGCCGATACTATCGCCATTTCCTTGGCGTGTGTCCGTCTGGCTGCTTACGTGCAGCTTTTAATTGGGAGGAGGAGGGCTGCTGACCCTGCTCGCCGCGTCTACCTGCGCCTGACCTCGCCTCTCGTTTCATGCTCCAAATGCAATCGTCTCACGTTGCGCGAGAACGATCCTCAACAAATACATAACGTTTGCTTCGCCGCCCTGCAATACACTTTCGCTCGCAGAACGCCTATGTCTCGGAGCTTCCTCTCACGGCTAATTAATTTCCGTCTCCCCCTCTCCCACTCCCTCGCTCTCTCTCTCTCTCTCTCTCTGCCCTCTGCCGCTCTCTCGTTTTATCCCTCGAGCACATCTCTCCACGTGTGTTCGCGGAACGTTAACTCGCTCCCGCAGCGGAGCGAATGCCAAGAGGCGCGCGAGCCTCAGCCGCGAAAGCCGCGGAGTGCTTCCGAGCTCTTGCCGAAACGCCTCGGTGGATTGTCCCACTCCTTTCCCCGTCGGTCGAGTAGTCGATAAAAACAAGAGAAGAAATCATCGATTGCTCGATCGCCAGGCTATTTGCGTGCCGCCTTCGGCGTCGTTAAACTCAGCTGTTTCCTCGCAACAGGCTCGAGCGAAAAAAAGAGTCCCGGATTTCATGATTTCACGGCGCTGCACATGTTTGTCGAGGAGTCGAATAGACAAATGCGCGCCCTTGTAAAATTGTGAGCTGCAGCAGTTTGCTAGCCCGGCGCTTTCTCTTGGACAGTAAAGCAATAACCTTTGGAAAATCCCTTGGAAAATCTGGTGGCTTTCTCTCTCGCCTGGCCGCCAATCCGTCAATGCTCGCTGCCACTATACCTGCATCCTAGCTCACAACGACGGTTATGGTCGTGGATGAAATCCAGCCGCTGCGCTAATCTACGCGAGGGCCTTCTTGCCGCAATTCAATTAGATGTGGCAACAGGGAAGGTATGGGCCTCGTAAATTTCTCCGCGTTCTCGTTCTTTCTTTCACTGCCTTGACAATATCTGCATTTTCGATCTTTGCGAATATCTCAATTTCTCTCGACGACGCTACGCGGGACAGCGAGCGAGAGAGAGCGAGAGAGAGCGTTTAGTCACGTATCGCGCTACCCATTTCTCGGCCTTGTTGACATTGTCCTTTTTTCTCCTTGCTTACGGAGATCAGTGAAGCGCGACAACTCCAAAAAAGCCGCTCGGAGCTTTTTTCCCAGCTGGCTCGGTTCGATCAATCAAGAGTTAATCAGGTACTGATTGCCCGATTAGACGGGCCATTATAACAGATTAAAAAGAAACGGAGTGGGCATTGAATAATCCAACGAGCACACGTTCGTTGTTCAAAAGACCGTCAGTGTGCCGCGCGCGTCTCTGTCGATTAAACAATCATCATAATAAGACCGACGCGCAACGATCGCTTTTTTTCTCTCTCGTTTTGTCATCGCCGCGGACTAAATCGCAAATAAAGCTCAATCTCAGCTTTGGTCGCACGTCGTAATTTTCTATTTGCGGCTCTCTCCCGCTCGCGCACATGGCTGAACGTGGGTCGCAGGATGACACTATGACGCGGTCTATTCTATCAGCCTTGGCCAGCGCAAGACTGATCTAGAATCGCATTATAAATTGGCGCATTGCGCGGAACGTAGGTACGTCCATGCGCCCACGTAATTAGAACTGCACCTGGTTTTCTCATCGACTGAAGATCTTTTTTTGGAGCCGATTGCGTAACCGATTTCTTAGCTTTTTTTCGTTCACGGGCAATAAATAGATAAACTGAGCGAGTGAGAGAGGAAGCCGACAAAAGCGACATTCTCAACGTTATCGCGGTTATAATAATCCGGCTTTGCGCCTGTTTACGCTCTCTCTCTCTCTCTCTCTCTCTCTCTCTCTCTCTCTCTCTCTTCTCTTCAGCTGCGAGTCTTTGTGAGTGGAGTCTTGTGGTGTTATCGGGGGCTCTCATCGTCCGAAACTTGTTTCTTTTCGCGCCTCGTAGATTCTTCTTTTTGTCTTGATCGCAAGAGTGAAAGCGTTTTAAAAAGGAGCATTTAAAGGAGCGAGCGAGAATAGTGCCGTTTTAATGACCTCGATATATCAAAGGTGTAATTTATCGAGAGAGAAAGAGAGAGAGAGAGAGGGAGAGTGACGAGATAAGGAAACAAGAACGATCGTAAGCCGTGTGACGACCTCAATCGAAGCCAAAGCAGGCAGTAAAGTGTAGCTACGCGTCAGGAGAGTGGAGAGTTCATAATCGGCGGAGAGTTTGGCTTTGGCGTCTTGTCTAGCAGGTAGCAGCTAACTCTTGGGTAGCGCGAGCGAGCCGGCGTGTCGTGAACATTAGTCAGGCCGTCAGTGCGGTCCAACGTTTTACGAGGGTTTAATGCCCCCGAGGTGCATTCTAATTGCGCCAATAAATCCCCAGCGCTCTCTCTCTCTCTCTCTCTCTCTCTCTCTCTCTCTCTCTCTCTCTCTCTCTCTCTCTCTCTCTCTCTCTCTCTCCCTCTCTGTCGCCTAGATGCGGAAATATGCGCTGCAGCCACCGCGTTTCCACTAAACTTACTGTACCTCCCACTTTTCACATCTGATTCTTGGCCAAAAGACACTTCCTCGGCTAGGCACACGTGGCTTGAACGACTGGCTGGGCTGGCGCTTTACGCGTAGATAAGATACTGAATAGATTTTCATCGCGGGTTATCTTGGCGCGGCGGCGCCAACGATATTTTCCTGTGTTCGTTACGCGGAATAAAAAAAGCAACAATTTGATGGCGAGTGCGCAGACAAAAAGACGTTTGCTCTCCCATGGTCTTTCGTTGGCGCGAGCGTCCCATTCCACACACACACACACACACACACACACACGCGCGCGCACACGTATGCATGGAGGCAGGCCGTTTTGACAATGCTCTTTTGCCAGTTTGAAGCTCGTCATTGTTCGATTGCGCGGCGCGGCTCTGGCTCAGCGGGAGAAGCAAAAGTGGGGCGAGTGCCAAGTAAAAGAAGGGCGAGCGAAAGGTGTACTCTCGGCCTGCGCCTGTACGTACGTGTGTAAGTGTACTGTAGGCCTAAAAAGAAGAGAAGCGAAGAGAGAGAGAGAGAGAGAGAGAGAGAGAGAGAGAGAGAGAGAGAGAGAGAGAGAGAGAGAGAGAGAGAGAGAAAGGGGCGCAACAATGCGCGCAGCGGGGCACCACGTGTGTCGAGCGAGCGAGAGACTCGCAAGCGACAACGAACGGCCGACGAGCGGCGCGCGCGGATAATATGGTTGACCCGCTGAATAGATCAATTTACAATGGCTAGAAATGAGCAGTCGTTTTTGCTCGCCTCCTCGCTCGCATGCTGTTGGCCGTGTTTCGTGCCCGGCGATCTCACGTGCCGCGATCGGTGCCGCGATCGGTGCCGCGACCGGTGCCGCGATCGGTGCAACGATCGGTACCGCGAACTTGCCGTTGCAGTTGGAGCGCTTCGCTCATTGTGTTTTTCGAGTTGTTTGAACGGTAGCCAATTACTTCCTCGCGCCATTTCATCATAGCTCCGAAGGGAAACAGCTCGTTTAAAATCCGCCAGCTCGGGGGCACGCGTATGCCATTCGACGACTCACATTTTATTATTTTACGAGGCTCATCAGCTCTGATTGTTGTTGTACGTGGCGCATGATCGTAGCCCGCGGCCGTGCCTAGACAAGCAAACACGGCGAAAGGCCTAACAACTGGAAGGAGGGGAGGGCGAGAGATGGGCATTGTCCCATGCGAGGTGAAAGGTGTGCGGCTTTCGGCTGCAAATGGACATGCACACGAGCACGCACCCCAACGTCGAGTTCATGCTCGACGCATGCGTGCACGCATGCGCACTTAATACAGCTGCTCGCGATGCGAAATAACGTGGAATAATCCGCGGGGCCTTTTGTCGAAAGGAAAGGGGCGGCCTATATCTCGCCGCGCTATCGAGGCAGCTTAGCGCCTTTAAAACGTCCGCAAGAGGATTGTCACCTGCTTATCTAAATTCCCAATGCAGCGAAACCCCCTTCGACTCTCTTTCTCGCAGAGTACATCAACCCCATTACGGCCCAACTCCAACGCGGAATTTGTGGATAGCTAAGGAGCGTACAATTAACGTCGTTTCAAAAGACACGTGAAATCGTGCGGAACGTTAATTTCACTGACAAAGAAGAGATTAGTGTTGATTCAAGATAAGATTATAGCGGCGTCGGCAGTGTGCTCTAAAAGTACCTGTCAATGAATTTGAATAGCAAAATTGTGGAAAAGACAAGTGTAGCTATTGCGTGTGTGCGATCGACGCCAGCAGGCGACAACAGGCCCGTGCAACTTTTTCTCGGCTGCAAATTCGAAAAGAAGCTGAAGTTAAGACAAAAACTCGACGTCGTCAGCGATGACATAACAACCGCCATTATGTCTACGGCGCTGGATAAAACCAGCTGCAAGTGGAAAACAAGGCAGATTTTGGATTCTATGATTCAACGAAATGCGTGCTACGTGTGTGCGAGCTCTGCATTGCCGATAATACCGAAAACCAGACTGATAATAATTCAACTAATGCGATAATTGAGGCATTGCTGCTGGTTGTAACTGAAAATTTGCTGCTGCTGCTGCTGCTGCTGATACTCAGGCGCATATATGCTCATATCACGAAACACTCATTGTTTATACATGGAGCACTGATAAGTCGAGCTGTTAATGCCTAGTTGCTTTTGAATA